ATCAAAATCTCCAGAGGGTAACTTAATTAAAATCTCTATAGCAGCGGGGGTACAAGCAAGATTTAATTAATTAAATGTCAAACTTGTGGTCACCAGCTAGCCCTTGAGAAACTGCACAACAGTTAATATAGTTTGCTATTAGCTCTCTACCTCTCTATACCTCAACTAACTGTCATTTGGGTTCATAGTTCATGAGCAGGAGATATTTACAGCACTGTGAGAAATATTGAATAACTTGCCTCCTTAATGCATTTACCTATCCCAACTTTCTCTCTATTTCTTATTTCCCACTATTTCTTACATCTAAAGTCTGTCCTATCAACCTCTTCATAAGACCCCTTTAGTAATACGAAGGTCAGCAATAAGAGGGGGGAGTTATAGTAGTGGGAAAACGGAGTTTCAGGAGAGGTTTCTTTAGAAGTGGATGTGGCAATAGAACTAAGAGAAACTGGAATTTGGGGCTTTTGAGCCAGATCAGATTTCAATACATCATTGCCAATTTGCCTTATGGAGAATTTGTTGTTAGTCACAAACACAATGACTCCTGTGACCAGAGTAACAATTTTAAACATTATGGCATGAAAAAAAATAAAACATGAGGGTACGATGTGTTCCACCCTTCTTTTCCCCAAGCTGGAACTTTGTCAAGCAGCCTTGGAGGTCGGTTGGGCTTCACCACAATCAGCTCAGCTTTCTGTGCTGATGTCCCTTGAGGTAGCCCCTGCTCCCATTCCACCTGTTGGTCCTGGTTGACCACCGCCATTCCAGCATACCGTACACCATCACGAACGAAACTGCACCCATCAGTATAGAATGTTATCTCTGCACAAGGGAGGGCCTGGTCCGTCAAGTCCGGATGTCCTCCCCTCGAGTTTTCAAGAGTCTCGAGGCAATCATGGATGGGCATTTGTTTGTCAGATTCTGGGAGTAGAGTAGCCAGACTGAGGCCAGTGGTGGTGGCAAACTTAATGCATGGCTGTTCTAATAAGAGTCCTTGATATTGTAACAGTCTGGCATTAGACAGCCATTTGCTAGGTGAGCTATTCAACAAGGGCTCAATGTCATGGGGAGTGATCAGAGTTAAATCCTGTCCAAAGGTCAATTTGTCAGCCTCTCAGGTTAAAGCAGTTGCTGCTGCTATTGTCCTCAAACAATTAGGCCACCCTCGGGCCACTGGATTGAGCTTCTTTGAGAGGTATGCCACAGGCCGCTTCCATGGCCCCAAAAGCTGAGTAATCACTCCCTTAGCTACCCCATTTTTCTCTGTCACA